GGAATTTATAAAGATCCACCTGCCTCTGATTCCTGAGTGTAGGGATTAAAGGCATGTGCCACCACCACACCTGGCTGCTCCAGGGGAACAGCAGGAAAGAGAACAGGGTCTGTCTTTTAAAGGGGTCCTTTGCACCTTCATGCAGACTAGTACTCATGGAACCCTGGGCTGACCAGGGTACTGCCTGAATGCATTCTGCCAGGTCACAGGGACAGAACATAATGCCTGAATCCTTACAGGAGTATTTTAGTGTTTGGATCTAAACACTAAAATTGGGGTCTAAAGGAGAAGTTGGTGAGAACACACTGGATGATTTGATTCAAGTTATCTTCTTGTAGTGGCTTTTATGTGACTCTGATCACACTCGTAAAATGGCACACAGTAAACAAGTCAATACTGGGCTCTCCCTGCCCTTCCACCTACTTGTGCAGAAGTACCTGCTTGGTTCTTCACAAACCCAAGCCTGATTCCTTCAGCTTAGGCTGCCAGGGTACCACCTCATGTCAACTCTTGCCAAACTAGCCTTATAAAGGGAAAAAAAAAAAAACAGTGGGTCTTTGCCAATTCTGTGGGGCACCCATCCCTACCTTGCAACAAGCCATAAAAACACCTTCCATTTGGCTGTGGGAGGACTGACTGCAGGCTTCAGGGCTGAGCCAATGAATATCAGCCAAATCTAGAGTGTGTTTCACCAGAGCTATGTGTGGGAGAATCCTCCGGCAGCCACAGGTGTGGGATCAGGTTCTGAGACATGGGTGTGGCCTAGGTGGTGAAGGATGAGAGGCAGGAACAGGGAGTGTGGGTGGGGCCAGAGGTGGGCAAGGGTGGAGGAGGCAAAGAATGGGGCCCTGGCTGGGTTTGGACACAGTCCTCAGATCAATGGTTTAGAATCCTCTGCAGGCCATAGCCTCCTTTGAGACTCTGATGCAAGCTGAGGAAAGAAAAGCACACACGCTTGAAGCAGCTACAATTTCTGCACAGTACTGAGGGCATTTTAGAACTAACAAAGGACCATCTAGGGGTTAGGATTATTACTCATTAGTCTAAACAAGTTCTTAGGGAATTCTGCGAAAAAAATGAACAAAGAAATCTTAGAGCAGCTTTAAGAGACTGAGCATGTGCTAAATCAGAGACTAGGTGGGCCAACAAGTCTGAAATCGACAGTCAAAGACCATGGATTCTCTAAATATTTTATTTTCTTTCTGGTTTTGTTCCTGAAAGTGCTTGAATTTGTGCAAAGTTCCAAATTTGTGGGCTTTTTGAGAGTTTTTTTGTTTTGGGCCAAGGTCTTGCTATGAAACTGAGGTGGGCCTCAGACTCTTGGTTCTCCTGCTTCCCACCTCCAGAGTGCTAGAATTACAAGGTTGGAATCATCACCCATGCTTTCAGGTATTTTGCTTATTTCATTCATTGTCAACCAGTGATTCCTTCTTTCCATGGATGATCATGTTCTTGGGAGCCCATGGGTTTTGTTGTTTGGTTTTCTACAGAACCATTTGAGAATACATTGTAGAATTGAAATGGTTAATCCCTCAAACTTGAAATTCTTAAAAAACTCAAAGGCCTTTTCTTATTTAACTCCAATATAAAGCTCATACTCCCCAATTTAACATCGAGTTTAGTATTATGCAATATACACCCCATATTAAAATTATCCCAGTGAGAGGCCTTCTATTAGCTAGCTGTATTCTTAGCCCCTTGTCCATCACACATGCACACATGTTCCTGCGTTTTTGTTGTTTCTTGTTTTTGAAATAGGGTCTAGGTAACCCGCACTGGCCTGGAACACAGGTAGCTAAGGCTACCCTCCTGCCTTAGCCTCCCAAGTGCTAGGATAACAGGCATACACTCCGGAACCTGGTTCAATCCATCTATTTATTGTAGATACTCTTTCTCTGCTGATTCTGAGTGATAAGGACTGTGAAAATGCTGTGTCTATCTTCCCAGACTTCTGAGCAATAAAATGTGTAGTTTATTTTTGTTTTTGAACAGGTTTCAGAGGTAGACTGCCTCAAAGCATCCTGATATTCCTTCCTTAATCTCCCAAGTACTGGGTTTACAAATATGAACTACCATACCTGGCTGTATCCCCTGCAAAAAAAAAAAAAACAAAAAACAACAACAACAAAAAAAAAAAAAACAGGATCTTACTATGTAGTTCAGGCTAGCTTTGAACACATAGTCTACCCCTCAAGTAGGATTCCAGTACCTCATGGATGGCCCTCAGTCTCCTTTAATTTAGAGTAGCATCCCATGATTTTCTTTTTGCTGTGACATTTTAGGCAGTTCATACTAGATGCTTTGCCAAATACCCCTTCGGTTTGGCTGTGTCTAGTTGGACACAGGTTGAACCTTTTTGACAGGAATACTGTTATGAGTGACGTGTCCTTTCTCAGTGTACACAGAGGGTCAGTTGGTCCATGGGTAATGTTGTGGCCTTCAGGGTACCCCTTGTAACCAGCGGGCCTCCAGATATGGCAGACACTAAGTGACCAGGTGGTAAGCACCCAACCTTAGTCATGTTTTTGCGTTGTTTTCACAGGAAGGGGACAGATGGTGAAGCAGGAGAGAACTCATGTCAAGCTGAAGTTTTATGAAGGACACGGAGAGAAGTATCAACTTCAGAGAAAGTAATCTTTTAGGTAAGACTTAAAAAGAAAAACCAAGTCAGTTGTGAGAAGGTGAGGTTCTCCCCCCCCCCATACCCTCCAGCGCCCTAGGCCAGGCTTGAAGGGAAGAAAGAACTGAAAGATGGACATGTGCTGGTCGCAGGGAAGGAAAGGTGATAGAGTCTAGTAACAGCATGAGGCCGGACGGTGGTGGCACACACCTTTAATCCCAGCACTCAGGAGACAGAGGCAGGCAGAGATCTTCTGAGTTCTACAGAGTGAGTTCCAAGACAACCAGGGCTACACAGAGAAACCCTGTCCCTAAAAACAACCAACCAAAAACCCAAATAAACAGTGTGGCATGTAGTGCCTTATTATTGAACGGTCCCGATTGTTTTACATAGTTTAATGATCTACAAAACTCTGTGAAGTAAGTGTTGGGTGTATGCTACAAAATCTGAAGCTCAGAGATGTTGGGTCATTGCCTTAAATCCACATCAGTTGGGAGCTACAGAACTGGGACTTGAACTTGGGTAGTTAGCTATATGAAGAGGAAACAGTCTCATCTAGACAATGGTGAAAAAAGTTTAGACTCACCTGAACTGGGTGAGGATATTCTTGTTGATAAAGAATATGGACAGGAAAGCAAGACAGCCAGGGACCCGAGAAGATCAAAGAGCAGAGTATTCGAGGCTTGTATGCCTACCTAGTCCTTAGCCATGCCCAAGCATTAGCCTCTCCTTCCAGGCTAGTTCTCCCTTCCCCCTCCCCAACAAAAAATGGATATTTACCATCTCAAAGTATTTCCCACAAATTACAAGTTCAATGAAAGGGAGAAAACAGTAACTTTACAGGGAAACCACCTGGCTGACTCTAGTTTAACCAAGTGACCCAAGAGATGACTCAGTGGGCTCTCGGGGGGAATCTGGAGGGGAATTAGGAGGAAACGGTAGGTCGAGGACCAGGCAGATTCTGCATAGAGGGAATAGTAAGTATTGGGACTGAGGGGGTCTGTGAATGGTAGGTGGGGTCCAAAGGGCGAAGTGGAGTGAGGAAGGGAAACAATTTGAGGTGAGGGTTCTTGGGTTTATAGGCAAGTCACTGAGAGTGGCAGCAGTTAGGTGACAGGAAGGTCAGATCAGGGACAGTATGGGAGGTCGTGGTGGGTGGACATGAGGTGGCTGGACTATTCAACTGTGCTGAAAAGGGCGCCAGTCGGGGACGAAGGCTCCTGGGCGGTGACCTACAGGTGGACCTGCAGATGACCAAACTGCTTGGCGGGTGGCGCGGTCGCTGCGGGG